AATTTTAGTAGCTACTGCCTCACAGTTTTATTTACCAATTTATAATCCTAATACAGTGCTGGAAACTTCTTCTTTTGCATATGTCCATCATTTGACATCATGTGTCTTTTTCATTTTAACCCTTTTAATATGTGTAAAGTGCTATCTTATTATGATGTAATTTGTATTTTCCTGATGAAGAATGAAGTTGAATTATTTTTTCGTTTGACTTTCTTGCATGATATTGTGAATGTGTTTTTTAAAGTAAGTTTTTGTTGAGGTAACAGCAGTTTATAACATAGAAGTATCAGGTGTACATCATTATATTTCAACATCTGTGTATTCTATTCCATGATCATCACCAAAAGTCTCCTTTCTTTCCATTGCCAAACAGCTGATTCCCTTTACTCATTTCACCCTTTCTCCTGCCCCCTATGCCTCTGGTAACCACCAGTATGTTCTCTCTACCTAAGAGTTTGTTTTGTTTGTGTTTGCTTTTTTTTTATATTCTACATAAAGAGGATAACATGGTATTTATATTGTTCTGTCTGACTTATTTCACTTAGCATAATATCTGCTAGATCCATTCATGTCACAAATAGTAAGATTTTATCTTTTTATAGTCAAATAGTATTGCTCTGTGTGTGTATGTGTGTGTGTGTGTGTGTGTGTGTGTGTGTGTGTGTAATCTCACATCTTTAGCCATCATCAGTTGATGGACATTAAGGTTGTTTCTATATTTTAGCTATTGTAATAACACTGTAATGAATGTAAGATGTGTCTTATTGAGTAAATGTTCTCAGTCTTTGGATAAATACACAGAAGTGGATTAGCTGGCATATAATATTTCTATTCTTAATTTCTTTAGGAATTAGAATATTACTTTCTACAGTGGCTGCTCCAACTTACATCACCACCAACATTGTAGGAATATTCTGCTTTGTTTTTAATTAATTAATTAATTTTCTTATATCTTAATTTTTGAACAGTATTTGACTTCTCCCCTCAGGTATAGTCCTGGTAGTTCTCCCATGCCATGGCACCCATGATCCATTACCATAGTCCTTTGTGTTCTTCCCTCCCCTATTTGGACCCTCTCCCTCCCATTCCCCTGCTGTATGCCTCAGATTGATGATCAGCTTGCAAGTTTTATCTTTTTCCTGACCCTTGTTTGGTTTTTGTATATTCCACATAGACGTGAAATCATCCAATGTTTTTCTTTTTCCTTATGACTTACTTTTCTTAGCATAATCCCTTCCAGCCTCACCAGTGTTTCTGCAAATAGCATGAGTTTATGTTTGTGATTGCTTAGTAGTATACAATTGTGTATATATACCACATCTTCTTGATCCTTTCAACCATTTTGGGACACTTATGTTGTTTCCGTATCTTAGCTATTGTACATAGTGCTGCAATAAAATAAGAGTGCAGGCTCCCTTTCAATTTAGTGTTTTTGTGTTCTTTGGGTAGATTCCTAGGAGTAGAATCACTGGATCATATGGTAGACCTACTTTTAGTGTTTTGAGAATCCTCCACACAGCTTTCCTTAGTGGTCAGACCAGTTTACATTCCCACCAGTAGTGTAAGAGCATTCCTTTTTCACCAGAAGGAGGATTCTGCTTTTTTCTCATTTTCATCTATATTTGTTTCTTGTCTTTTCAATAATAGCTGTTCTAGTGGGTATAAATAAGGTTATGTCTCATGGTTTTGATTTTAATTTACCTGATAGGTGATGATGAACGTCTTTTCATGTGCCTGTTGACCATTTGTATGTCTTCTTTGGTGAAATGTTTATTCAGACCCTCCACTTATTTTTTTAATCAGGTTGTTGTTTTCATTGTTGAGTTCTATGAGTTTTTATATGTTGTGGATGTTTTATTATTTATTTTCTGGTTGTTTTGTACACTTCATATTCTTTTGTTCTCTTGTTCCTTTGCACTGTGATAGCTTTTTTTAGTGTTATGTCTAGACTTCATTAGTATTTTCCTTATTTCTAATACAGATTTTTGTTTTCAGGTTACCATGAGGTTCATATATAACAACCTATATATACAGCATTTCATTTTAAATTGATGGCAAGTTAACTTGGAGCTCATTCTAATGGTCTATATTTTTATTCTTCCCTCCAAACCATGTTTTATGCTTAAATGTCATTTTCCCTTTTTATTTGATGTAACCCTTATGTGATTAGTGTGTTTTTGTGTGTGTGTGTTTCTTTTTTTTTATTAAATATATTTTAGTTTGTATAATTCTTACATCATTTTTCATTTTGCACAATGCATGCATTTTCATTTTGGTTACATTCCCCATGCAATTCCACACACCTTATTTTGACCCTAATCCCTCTTCTCTTCCTCCCCCCACCCCCCATAGTGTGTCTCTGGTTTATAGTTGCTTGTTGATTTTGATTCTTTCTTTATTATAATTAGTCTTTTTCCTGGTTCCTTATTTAGGTTTTCTAAATTCTTGCTAGATTAGTGTGGTTTTTTAATTTATATTTATCTTTTTATCTTTTAACCTTCATGCTAGCTTTTTAAGTGATTGAGTCACTACCTTTATTATATGTTTACTTTTTTATTAGTGAGACTTTTTGTTTCCTATATTTTCTTGTTACTTCTTGGCATCATTTCATTTTATAGAAGCCCTTTTAATATTTATAGTAAGACATGGTTAAGGGTGATAGATTCCTATAGTTTCTGTTTGCCTGAAGAGTGTTTATGTCTCCCTTAATTCTGAATAATAACTTTACATATAGAATATTCTTAATTGGAAGGTTTTTTTTTTTCCTTTCTACGTTTTGACTATATCTATATCATGCCATCATTACTTTCTGGCCTAGAAAAATTCTGTTGAGAAAACTGCTGATAGTTTTATGGAGATTCTATTGTATGTAACAAGTTGTTTTTCTCTTGCTGCTTTTAAGAGTCTCTCTTTGGATCTCTTAGGGTGTATCTTATTTTAATTCTTTAAACTTCCTGGGTCCAGATGTCAGTTTACTTCTCTAGGTTAAAAAGGTTTTCAACCATTATTTCTTAAATGAGTTTTCTGCCTCTTTAGCTCTTCCTCTGGGATTGTACATATATTATCCACTTGATGTTATCCCACAGATCCCTTAAACATCTACATTTTTTGTAATCCTTTATTCTTTTTACTGCTGTTTGGTGATTTTTACTACTCTGTTTTCCAGATTGCTGATTATATATGTTGTTTCATCTGTTTGCTATGAGTTTCTCTACTCTAATTCTTAATTTAGTTTCTGTGTTCTTTAGAACTATAACTTCTATTTGGAACTTTCTCATATTTTCTCTCTCTTCATTGAAGTTATGGCTCTTTGTTCAAGTTGTCTTCTAGTGTGGAAAATAAAACCTTCACTTACCAGGGAAAAGCTCCATGTTTCGAATACCCTGGCCACCTCAATGGCAACCCCACACTCTTCATTGTGAAGGTACTGCTTTGTTATTTTTCAGTTCTTTTTTTTTTTTAAGATTTATTTATTTATGCATACAAGAACTGAGGTATAGGCCAGAGGTGCAGGGGGTGAGAGGATTCACCAGAGACAGAGTGGGGAGCAGAACAGGCAGATTGACTCAAATACATGCACTGCTGAGGGGAGCAATGGGCAAGACAGGGGAGATCTGCTGCACCATGTAGGTTGCTCCCTGGCCAGCCGGGGATCGAACTCATGCTGCAGAGGCTGCGGAGAGCTTCATAGTGCTGTGCTTAACCCCTTGTGCCACCAGGGAGGCCCTGTTATCTTTCAATTCTGTCTCAGAGAAAAGTTTTCCATATGTAACTATAGATTTGTTGTTTCATGATAGGAGTTGAATTCAAGATCTTCCTATCCTGCTATCTCAAACCACTTCCCAGATTTCCTTCTTTAGTGAGACACAAAGCAGCTGGAATGTATCTGTTTCTGGAAGGATATAGATCAGGATTGTCAAATTAGGTTTCCCATAAGATTTACCTGGAGAGATTATTTTAAAACGTATGTCGAGATCTTATTCCACTGCTCTGAAACCCTTAAAATGATTAATATCTTGAAGAGTTCAGGATGTGGTAGACTGAATTTGTTACAGGCACTAAAGGAGACCTATAGTGTGTCAGGTAATTCTAACATCAGAGTTGCCCATGAAGGAGGACTTTTGTTGGGATCTAATTTGTGTTTTGGATGGGAGGTGGCCTAGACTTCTAATAATCAATCTAAACACAGTGGTAATTAAGGTTACTTCTGAGTTGCAGCAGAAGCAACAAGTAAAAATGGTAACATTAAGCATATAACTTCAAAAAAAAAACCTCTATAATCACGTAGACAATGATTGCCTTAATTATGCATAAACTTTAATTAGTAGCTATGTAATTGTTAAAGATATCTTCTTACCTGCACAACTATGGCAATTAGAAATCATTGCTTTAAGGGCCTCCCCGGTGGCGCAGCGGTTGAGCGCTGGGTTGCGAAGCTGCCCGCAGCCTCTGCAGCGCCAGTTTCGAACCCCAGCTGCTCCCAGGCCACCGGAGGAGGGTCCCGCATGGCGTGCAGACCTCTCCTGCCGCCTGCTGCTCCCCTCAGCAGTGTACTTCATCAGTCTGCCTGCTCTGCTCCCCGCTCTGGCTCTGGTGAATTCTCTCACCCTCCCATGCTTCTGACTGTACCCAGTGCTTGTATACATAAATAAATAAATGAATCTTTAAAAAAAAAAAAAAAAGAAATCATTGCTTTAAAATATATATGGGGAATGAAACAACCCAAAGAAATTTATATTCATTTTGATAGATTTTCTTATACTTCTCAAATCTATCAAAAAGTATAGGTAAATCAGTAGACTTCTTTTCAGAAACATTTGAGAAAATGATTTTTAAAAACATAAATGTTTTGGTAATGTACCAACCCCAGAGATTCTAATTCAGTATGTCATTATTCTGTGATACTCTCAGGTTTGAGAATCACTGGATTAAATGATTAAATGTTTGTGAAACTATATAAGGATTGATATTATAACTTCATTTTATCTTGCTTTTCATAGATTTAAAAATGAAGGATGTCTTCAACATGATCTGTTTTATATTATTGAAAAGTAAGAAATAGTTTTAAACATAAGTATTGAGTTTTATATTGCCAGTAATTCAGAATTAGTATTTACTCTTTTCATATTAATCTTTTATAAAATATGAATTCATTGCTATAAATTTACCTCTAAGCACTGTTTTTTACCTCTTGCAAGTTTTGATGAGTTTTATTTTTATTTCCATTTAATTAAAATTACTTTTAAAAATTAAGATTCCTTCTTTGACCCATTTGTTATTTTCAAGTACATTGTTTAATCTCCACATATATTTGGGGCATTTTGTAATTATGGTATCTACTTGACTTTTGTGATACCTCCATACCTAAGCAAAATAATGCTTTTAATATTAGATTTAAAAATAAGAAGATGAATAATGAAAAATTTCTTTTTTTTAGGTCATATCTGAGGCATCAACCACAAAAAAACTTGGTAAGAGAACTATAATTTTGTCGATGGGCCAAATACAAAAAATAACCAAAGCAGTTTTTCCTTTTCTAGAGAGTGAAATATGACTGGAATAAATATGGCTGCCCATTGAAACTTGATTTCAGAAAAAAATCATTTCATCCTTTGCTTCAATTGTAAGTACATTCTCACTGAATTTTTTTATTTTTAAATGTTTTACCATGTTTTACATCCTTCTTAGTGTTTTGACAGCATAGAGTTCCCCTTCCCCTTCAGGTATAAACACTAAGCATTCTCCCCACCAAAGCACCATAGTCTTCCACCAGAGTCCATAGTACTCCCCTCCCCACCGTCACCATTCTCACATCTCTCCCTCTCCTCCCCTGCTGGGTATCACAGATCTATGGTCAGCTTTCAAGGGTTGGTTTATTTTTTGTTATTTGTTTTTCCCCCAGGTTCAGTAAAAACTTTTATTTTATAATATATTTATTGTTATTGAAATACCATTGTTTTACATACTGTCTAGTGTTTCAAAAGTATAGATTTCCCCCTCAAATATTGTGACCATAGCACTCCTAACCCCCAAAGTGCTCATAATACTCCACCATAGTCCATGGTCTTTCTCCCCATACCCATCCCTGCCCCTACCCCTCTGAAGGCCACAGATCTATAGTCAGCATCCAAGGGGTGGTTTTAAAGCTTGTTTTTGTCTGATGCTTTGTTTGGTTTCTCCATATTCCTCATATATGTAACACCATCTGATATTTAGCTTTCTCCTTTTGACTTATTATACTTAGCAGAATTCCTTCCAGGTCCATCCATGTTTCTGCAAAGGGCACGTGTCTATCTTTTTGATACTGAGCAGCATTCCATTGTATATATTTACACCACTTCTTTATCTACTCACCTGTTTTGGGGGCACTTAGATTGTTTCCATATCTTGGCTATTGTATACAGTGCTGGGGTGCAGGTTTCTTCTTGAGTTAGTGCTTTTGCAGTTTTGGGGTAGATAGCTAAGAGTGGAATTGCTGGTTTGTAAGGCAGAGCCACTGTTAGTCTTTAGAGAAAACTCCACATTGTTTTCCATAGGGGCTGGGCCAATCTACATTCCTATCAACAGTGTAGGAGAGTTCCTTTTTCTCCACAGCCTTAGTGCACTTATCATTTAAGTCTCACTGCACTTATATGGGTTATTCTTACTGATGTACAATCATATTTGATTGTGATTTTGATTTGCATTTTTCTAATGATAAGTGATTGTGAACTTTTTTTTTCATGTGCCTTTTGGGCATCTGGTTGTCTTCTTTGGAGAGGTGCCTCTTTAGCTCTTCCACCCTTCTCTTGATTGGATTATTTCATTTATTTTTGTGGAGTCATATGAGTTCCTGGTAGATTTTGATATTAGACCTTGTCAGATGTTTTGTGTGCAAATATTTTCTCCCATTCAATAGGGTGACTGTTTTAGTTATTGTCCCTTTTGTTGTGCTGAAGCTTTTTAGTTTGATGTAGTCGCAATTGTTTAAGTGCTCTTGTTTTCCTTGCTGCTCAGGATAAATCTGCAAAGCTATCTCTGAAATTTATATCACCGAATGTTTTGCCTGTGGTTTTTTCCCTATGTGTGGTATTGTTTCAGGTCTTATCCATTTTGAGTTGACTTTTGTATATGGCGTGAGAAAGTGGTCTAGTTTCATGCCTTTGCATGTGGCAGTCCATCTTTCCCAACACCATTTATTGAAGAGGCCTCCCTTGTTTCAGTGTATATTTGCCACTGGTCACATATTAGCTGTCCCTATATTTGTGGGTTTATTTCTGGGCTCTCAATTCAATTGCATTGGTTTGTGTGTCTGTTTTTTGTTCCAATATCATGCTGTTTTAATTGCCATGGCTTTACAGTGTAGTTTGAAGTCTGGAAGTGTAATACCACAATTCCCCCCCTTTTTTTGGTCAGGAAAGCTTTGACTATTCAGGGTCTTTTGTGGTTCCATATGAATTTCATTAATGTTCCATTTTTTTTTTTTTTTTGAAGAATACACTTGAGATTTTTATTGGTATTTAACGTGTAAATTGCTTCGGGTAGGATGGCCATTCTGACAAAGTTGTTTCTTCTTATCCATAAGCATGGAATATCCATCCATTTCTTTTTGTCTTCTGTTTATTTTAACAATATTTTTAAATTTTCTTTATATAGGTCCTTCACCTCCTTTGTTAGGTTTATTCCTAGATAGTTTTGTATTTTTGCATGTGTGTGTGATTATAAATGGGAATTTTTTAAAATGTCTTCTAGCTCACTGTTTGCATATAGAGAGGTGACTGATTTTTGTGCATTGATTTGGTAGCCTGTCACTTTGCTGAATGGGTTTATTGTTTTAATTAGTTTTTCAATGGACTCTCAGGTTCTCTATTTAAGTTATTGTGTTCATCTGTAAATAATAATAGCTTAAGTTCTTTTTTCCCAATTTGGATTCTTTTTATAGCTTTCTCTTGCCTGATTGCTCTAGCTAAGACTTCTAATTCTGTGTTGAATAATAGTGGTGAGAGTGGATATCCTTGTCTTGAACTGGAACTTAGTGGAAAGTTTCAGCTTTCATCATTGAGAATAATGTTAGCCATGAGTCTGCCATATATGGCTTTTATTATGTTAAGATATGTCCATTATCCCCGTTTTTTGAGGATTTTCTTCATAAATGGATGTTGAATCTTATTAGATATTTTATTGGCATCTATTTATGTTGCTATGATGATATGTTGATATGATGATATGTTTATGTTGATATGATGATATCTTTTTTTTGTTGATATGGTGAATTATTTTTATTGGTTTTCAGATGTGGAATCATCCTTGTATCTCTGGAATAAATCTCACTTGTTCATGATGTAGAATCCTTTTAATGTATTTTTGGATTCCGTTTGCTAATATTTATTCAGGACTACAGAACTTGCCCATCTTGTCTAGGTTGCTAAACTTGTCTATGTTTCTATACTATGCATATAAATATGCATAGTAATCTCTCACTATCCTCTGAATTTCTGCAGTGTCTGTTGTAATTTCTCCTCTTTCATTATTAATTCTATTTATTTGTTTTCTTTCTTCTTTTTATAGTGGTCCTAGGTAGAGGTTTGTCTATTTTGTTTATTTTTTTCAAAAAAACAGGTTTGGGTTTCATTGATCTTTTGTGTTGTCTTTTTACTACTATTTCACTTATTGCTGGTCTAATTTTAATTGTTTCTTCCTTCTACCGATTTTGTGGGTTATTTTTAACATTTATTTTTTCTTTCTTGAGGTTTACAACACTGCATATGATTTATAGAGTATTAGAAGGTTTCTCTTTTTGTTTCTTAGTTGATTTCTAGTTTTATACTTTTATGCTCCAAGGAGACACTTGGTATATGATTTCAGTCTTCATGATTTGTTGATATTTTCTTGTGATCCTATATATTGTCAATTTTTGAGAATGTCCCATGTACACATGAGAAAGAATGTATATCTGGTTAGGTGGGTTACACAGTGCAAAACATCAAAATTTTAGTCAGCTTGTGGGGCTCTCTTAGCCTGAAAATAACTTCTGAAATATCACAGGTTAGGTAAATGTATGGTAATTAATTAGGTGAGAAAGGCTGGAAAAGGACCAGTGAAATGATTACTGAATATACCTAATTCATCACTGAGGTAAAATATTATGAATTAGTTCAAAACCCACAGTCACGAATTAGTGCCTATCCTTCACAAACTCTTCCAAAAAATTGAGAAGGAAGGGATAATACCAAACACATTCTATGAAGCCAACATTACACTAATACCAAAACCAAACAAGGACAACACAAAAAAGAAAACTACAGGCCAATCTCCCTAATGGACACTGATGCAAAAATCCTTAATAAAATTTTAGCTGTCAGAATCCAACAATGTATCCATAAGATAATTCACCATGACCAAGTAGGATTCATTCTAGGAACACAAGAATGGTTCAACATCCGAAAATCAATCAGTGTTATCCAACACATCAACAAAAAAAAATATAAAAACCATATGATAATATCAATAGATGCTGAGAAAGCTTTCGACAAAGTGCAACACCCATTCATGATAAAAGCCCTTGAAATTTTTGGGATACAAGGATCATACCTCAACATCATAAAGGCCATAAATGACAAGCCAACAGCCAGTATCATTCTCAATGGCAAAAAGCTGAAAGCATTCCCATTAAGATCTGGAACAAGACAAGGAGGTACACTCTCACCACTGCTTTTCAATGTAATACTGGAAGTCCTAGCCAGAGCAATAAGACAAGAGAAAGACATACAAGGAATCCAAATAGGAAAAGAAGAAGTCAAACTATCACTATTTGCAGATGATATGATAATATACATAGAGAACCCCAAAAACTCCACAGAAAAACTAATTCAACTAATCAATCAGTTCAGTAAAGTGGCAGGATACAAAATCAATACGCAAATATCAGTAGCCTTCCTATACACCAACAATAAATCTGAAAAAGAAGAAATAAAAAACCCATCCCTTTTACTATTAAAACAAAAAAAATCAAATACTTGGGAATAAATCTAACAAAAGAGGTAAAGGACCTATACAAAGAAAACTATAAAACACTGTTAAAAGAAATAGAAGAAGACACAAAGAAATGGAAAGACATCCCCTGCTCATGGATTGGAAGAATAAACATTATTAAAATGGCCATCCTACCAAAAGCAATATATAGAATCAATGCTATTCCAATAAAAATTTCAATGGCATTCTTCAAAGAAATAGAACAATTATTGATGAAATTCATATGGAACCACAAAAAACCCCGAATAGCCAAAGCTCTCCTGAAAAAAAAAGAAGGGAATAGAAGCATCACACTCCCAGACTTCAAACTTTACTACAAAGCCATAATCATCAAAACTGCATGGTATTGGAACAAGAACAGACACACAGACCAATGGTATCGAATAGAAAATCCAGAAATACACCCACAGATTTATGGTCAACTAATCTTTGACAAAGGAACAAAGAATATGCATTGGAGCAAAGAAAGTTTGTTCAATAAATGGTGCTGGGAAAACTGGGTTGCTATATATATATATATATATATATATATATATATATATATATATATAACACCATGCACTAAAACCTACTCATATGGATTAAAGAACTAGACATAAGACCTGAAACCAT